ATTTTGTTCGAGTTATAATGTCTAAATAATTCGAGATACCGCGTATTTTGGGTTTCAGCGGAAGGTAATGGCAATTTTTTCGACTTAACGAAGTTCGAGTTATAGAGATTCCACTATAAGCATTTTCCCTCCAGATTGGTGTATTGGTGTTTTTGTACTTTTAGTTTATTTGTAAGGTTAAAATAGTAAAACTTTTCACATTATATTTTTTATTATTATCTTTCTATTTTAACTGTTAGTGAACGTGTCAATAAACGTTCATTAGAGATGAAAAATTTGCTTTTAAAGTAGTTTATAACTACCGTAGTGTATTAGAAATTTTACTCATTATCATCCAAATCCGTGAGGTTGCATAATTCGGACAACACACTAATTACAAAACGTCTATAGACTGTGGTGAAAGAGAACCGGCGTGGTAGTTATCCAGACTAATATAATTTATATTAAATATTAATAATGTTGAATAATGACGTAACACTTAACAGTGTTAAAAAAAATCAGTGGCGCTACAATCTTTTTTAGGTCTGGGCGTCATATTTCTGAATCTGTTTCATGATCATTTGTCAATCTAATAGGTAAGTAGGTGGTCAGCCTCCTACGCCTGACACACGCCGTCGACTCTTTGGGTCTAAGGCAAGCCGGTTTCCTCGCGATGTTTTCCTTCACCGTTCGAGCGAATGTTAAATGCGTCAAGAAAGTCCATTGGTGCACAGTCGAGGCTCGAACCTACGACCTCAGGAATTAAAGTCGCACGCTGAAGCCGCTAGGCCAACACAGCCCTAAGCATAATTTTATTTTAATATTAAATTAAAAAATAGTTTCGTTAAGTTTAAAATATCGCAATTCATTAACTTGCATTTCAAATATTCGTATTAACAAAACAATGATATCACAGATAACATACCACTTTACAATGATGATGCAATCAGTGTCAGGTTAAAGCATTGTTCAAGTTCTAATTATCGTAACGGAGTGCATTGTTGCCTTTTTAATATATATATTGACTTGTTAGTGACACAGAGTACACAAACAAATAAAATCTATATCTGTTGTCTATTACGTTGAATTTCTTTTACTCCAATTAAGGCCATCTCAAGCTTAACGCATTGGTTTTTTTTTTTTAAGAACAGGGGGCAAACGGGCAGGAGGCTCACCTGATGTTAAGTGATACCGCCGCCCATGGACACTCTCAATGCCAGAGGGCTCGCGAGTGCGTTGCCGGCCTTTCAAAAAAGTTAAAAGTGTAACTCGTCTGTTTGGGCTCCGCATGAAACTAAATACTGTTTTATGGGGTGCAGACAGAATAGGTTTACGCGATTCTTTTATTACAGACTGTATGGCGTCTATCCTTTAATGTACATTATTTGCCTTAGGGATGTTATGATAATGTATGTCCCTTGGCGCTGCGTAGAGATGTAGGGTAACTCTGCATCTTCTACTGCATTTTCCATGGAGAGTGTTCAGAGGAGTTGTTCGGATTAATACCTACAGCTGAGTTTCATCATTGGACGTTGGGGCAGATTACAAAATTCCACCCGTATCAACTCGACGTCCGTCGTTCCACAACTGTGTGGAACCAACTGCCCACTGAAGTATTTCCGAACCAATTCGACTTATTGTCCTTCAAGGAAAGAGTGTACAATTCTTAAAAGGTCGGCAGCAGTAATTTATTTGTTAAGGTATACATAATAAGAAAAACAAACCTGTACTATGGAGGGATTAATTCATTATTTTACGCACTTGTATTTAATTTGAGTTTTGAATACTGGTAAAAGCTCGCAAAACGATGTGAATTTATTTCGTGATAATCTCACTAAAGACTTATTTATATTATTACTAGCAGACTCGGCCAAGCGTTGCTGTGGCTAAGGTTTTTGTTATATTATAGTAAACTATTCAAGGGAAACGGTAGGAGAACACCAGTCATGGAGACCATTTGGTGGTTATGTCATTAAATTGTAGCTTATGTGAAACGTTGGTACTTTCATCACAGCGCCATCTGTTAGAATTGTGACTGTCAAATAATAAATAAATAATTTGCAATAAAATAATATTGCGAGCATCAATTGAGATGTAAGCTATCCTATCTTTTAAGTTGGATCAAACTGCACACGGTGTGCAAATTTAATTTAAAATCGGTTAAGTAGTTTAGGAGTCCATCGCGGACAAACAACGTGACACGTGATTTATATATATTAAGATTACAAAAAAAATATTTATGAAATAATAATTATGAAGGCAATTTGTTAAAAGTTTAAAAAAGCCACTGAGCCACACAGTACTTAAAGAAAAACCTTTTTCAACAGATTCAATTCAAAAACACCCCATATCCTACGGGACATGACTTCATTGGAATTCTAGTTTATTTAAAACCACAGCGAATAAAATGCAAATATACATTAATACGTGGAGTGCACATTTATATAATGAAGTTTTTAATGTGAATGCGTAATGGGATGGAGCTGTGGGATGATATCTTTGACCGGCTTTGAAAGCAAACCGCTCTAGCATATGCGACTATGGCTGAGCTTAAGATTCTCCATATCTTACGATTATTCCTTCATATATTAACTTTTGATGTCTTGATTTTAGCTTTAAATGATATATTGTATATGATGTCGACACAACTTTAAACTCTTAGTACTACTTTAAAGCTGTGTAACGCAATTTATTTTACAATAAAAAAATAGTCGTGATGGAGTTTAGGATTTTGTGAGGACCAGATTCCGCAACTTGGCGTCGATTTCTCGACTGATTGAACAATAATCCTTAATATTTCAGTCTATTTACATAATTAATGAATTGTCCTATCTCAAAAATCATACTAAATTGGTGAAACCGTTTCTGAATTTATGCCTTTATGGCGTTCATAGAAACAGACGCGGCCGTGGTTTTTTCTTCTACTGTATGTATAAAAAACTAAATAATTCTTATCTTTTCTAAAACTTCAACGCAATCTAAGCCACGACTGCTGGATACCTGCAGTATAGGCAATTGATGCATGTTATTAGAAGTTCATACAGAAAATAGGTCGCCTTTTATACTAAAAAGTATGCTCATAAAAGTATTGTGTTGCAAATATATTTTTCTTACTTAATTGTCTTTTTGTTTATAAGTTACGAGTGGACGAAAACGAACATTTATATATTAAATCAAGACTGTAGGGACTGTCTTAGATCTGTTATCATGTATCTGTTGTACCATATAAAACATGTGGCTAAAAATATAGGTAGGTAATTTAGCATAAAAAAACTTTTTGCAATATGAAACAATTTTTTTTATAAAGTGCACCATAGGCTTCAGGTGTGAAAGATGAAAATGTTTTGAAAAGCCTCTTTTAAGAAGGCTTCTGTGTCCAATATATTTGTAGAATTTGTAATGCAGATAACAGGCCACCGATGCTTAATGTAAACAATTAAAGACAGACAGTATGTGACATATAGAAATATTTTCCCTATTCTATATAGCATATTTTGTTATTTATATTTATGAATATTTCTAAATATTGAAACCAAAATATTTTATTGAAAGAAAAAAATTGAAGCTCAGAGTACTTAAAAACTTTGATATTTTCAAAGTCCCAAAACTGGTAGTAAAATGCATGAAAGCTTGATATGACAGCATATACTGGGGTTGCTAAGGGTGGAAAAGGTGTAATGGTTGCTGACGAATTATCATAAATTCAATACTATTCAGTTTTTATCTTCTTTAATTCAATCAAAGATTAATCAATGTGTATTAATTTAATACACTATTCACCTAAAAGAGATGTGGCAAAAGAGGTTAAGGATCAAGAGATCATTTGTTTTGTATTTTCAATAATTCAATTAGTATTAAAATGGAAATAGAGTTCAATAAGATTAAATTTTTTCTTATTGAAAAATATTTTTATAAATATGTATTTGTAAACCCATTTAATTTAGCCAATTTCTTAAAAAATAATCAGCCCATTTCTTAAGAAATAAAAATAAACGTATAGCAAAAAATCTCATTCAATCTTAAAAATTTAATTTAAATATCTAATTTCTTCAAAGGTAAGCTTGTACAACAGTTTTAGTGCGTAAGGCATAATAGTAAAGATTTCTAAACCAAACAAAAACAATGCATTTAATACATTAGTACGACACATAAAGATCTAATTGAGCACAATATTATCGTAAACATGTTATGTCCGTAACATTATTTAAGATCAAACACAAACATCAAAGGATATCTACAACGTGCAACAAATTTCTTCCTAAGAAAATCTCATTAATAAATGCCCCGAATGACCGTAAACCTAAAAATAGCACAGGACTAAGGATGCAACTTACCGGTTGTTAGCAGAAAAACGAATAAGACACCATGATACAAACACATCTTTCACCCTATGTAAATAGAAACGTTCACAATAAAGATCAAACTATTAATTTCAGTACTGAGGTAAACATTTTTATGTTAAAGAATGCTTAAAAGAAGCATTTTGGAAGCACAATTATTACGTACGCCGGAATAAACTGGACAGCTTAAACAGGCTAGCGACGCGGACTGAGTGAGCTTTAGAAGTTCGAATTCGAAAAGTCTCTTTCACAGATGGCACACACAGGCAGATTTTTATTTAAATAAAAGTCCCACAAAGATAGTTTTGGTATGTCAAAGGATCAGACAGCTGCTAACTTCACTGTTTATTTTGACAGTTTATGAGTTCATTGACATGATTCGTTCAGAAACAAAAGACTTGGTCGAAACTAATATAATAGTGGTAACGAAATTAGAGATAAAACATAGATGAATTTCGTAGACAACAATGCCCTTTTAAAGAAAAATATAAGAATAAATTCACTATTCATGTTTTTTAGAAAGATAAATCAACACAATTTTTTAAGTTAATAGTACTGCATTAGATACATAGATGTCGCTGTTAGCGTGTAAAATTCTTATTCTTGCATTTAAATTAGTAATGTTATAGACTAATCTTTTATCTCTTGCCTAGGTGTAAGGTTTTTAAATAAAACTCAATGTTAAACATTCTTTTTATTGCCAAAATGATATTTAGCAAAAGTCTGAGCAACAAGCAGTGGAAAGACTAATGTTGCATCTGCATACAGCTTAATCGGTGTGGCATTTGATTTTATTTTCCCCCATGAGACGGCTTCATCTGGCCTTGCTCCAGAATCACTACCATCAAATTCACTAGCTGTATTAACATACACAGCAAAATCAGCACCATTTCTCATAAGATTAGCGTTACAAATATGGTGTTTTATAACACCACCACCAAGAATAATTACACCAGTGTTATTTGCCTTAACAGCCATGGTGTTAAGCCGACGGAGGTCTCCTAGTATATCAATGACAAGTCCTGGTTTATTATATGAATGAAAATACATCATATCACCAAGCGAACCATCAGTCAAAGCTGGACTGAAAATTGGGATGTTATTTTTCCAAGCCCAATAACAAACTGAACTTTCATTGTTGATTCTTTCTCCTAATCTTGCTATTATTCTTGAAGGTGTCCATATAGTACCTTCTTGAATCTGTTCATCAACCATTTCATTCAGTAATGGAGTTACCCATTCTTCAAATAGGCAGTAATTGTCATTGGGGACTAACAAATTACCAATTCTATTGATTCCCCTGGTTCTTAAAACTTTGCCACTTAAATTAAAGTCTCCAATATAAGTAGGAGCGAGGCACTTAATAAAATCTTCTTCTACACCGCCAGCAGTAGTAACGATACAGTCTACAAGTTTATTTTTTACCAGAAAGCGTATAGTATCACGTAAACCTGAAGAAATCATGTTGGATGTGTATCCTAAGAAAATAGTGCAATTAGTAGTCTTTTTTATGAATACATCTTCTTCATAAGGATCACGATTTTCATCAGACAATGGGACGGAGCGACATTTTAACATTTTATTGATTTCCGTGACTGCTTTACCAAAGCTTGTGGCTTGAAATCCAGAGCGTTCATAACTCTCGAGAATTTTGTTATAATCTGTCCCGTTTTCCCAGTCATAGCCGCAGACAGTTGGTGTTTCGGCTGGAAGTTCCTGACTTGGAGCTAAAACAGCACTTACTGCAACGTCGGGAGCAAGGTATTTGGGTTTCTCACTTTTAGGTAAGTCCATTATGATTGTACTTCTCTCAAACTCTTAACATTTCTAATCGCAACGTCGTCACCTCGTAGATGTCTTGAGTTATATGATTTCGGAAAAATAAACCAAAATAATAATGTTTAAATCAAAATACTGAATGTAAGCAATAAGAATAATAATAAGGTTGACACTTGACAGAGACATTTGACGTTGACAGTCATAGTCATTTTTTTTTTAAATTATGACTAAGACAAAGTAAACAGATACTCCCCATAGAGTTACTGTTGTAAGTATTTATTCCAAAATCCAGCCACCTATTATCGTTTATAAATTAGAGTGAACATATTTTTCAACAAGAACACTAATTTTTCATACCACATTTATATTTTACTGTCATCTACCGGTGTTTGTTTGATTCAGGCTCAGAACCCAAAGCTGCAAAAGCTTATGCAAAGTATGCGGAGTCATTCGCGTTACGGTAAGGGTGAAAGTCAAAGTTGTTTTTTTATGAATACTATTTTGGAATTGTGTAAATAAAATAATTTAGGCTAACTATCACAGTTTTTTCTTAGAAAAATCGTGTACTTACTCGATTTTCCAGATTTTACGCGACTTAGGTAATATTATTAAAAAAATAAGGTAAAAAAAAACTTATACAATTCCAATACTTTACATACAGTTTCCGTGTGTTCATAACGTAACATTTACGAGTTTAACGCATTTGCGACGTTTAATGAAAGTAAAATGCGAGCAAAACCACTGTATACTGTTATGTCATAAATGATTATAAGGCCATGGTTCCAAAGACGGCTACCTCATATAGGTACGTATATATATTTAAATAATTTGGTACATTAAAGATTGTGAGGATGGATGCCATGCCATAATATACAATAATGGCAAATACAGTTGTTTATTAAGTTAATTATGAATTTAAAATTCGCCACAACTACTATCTTAATATATATAAATTACGCGTCACGTGATTTTTCCGCTATGGACTCATAAACTACATAACCGATTTCAATCAAATTTGAACACCGACTGAACTTTGATCTGCGTGTATCCAATGTCGAGTTTAACTCCTCTTAAACGGACTGGACCGATTTGAATGATTTTTTTTGTATGCATTTGGGAGCCCTGGATGGTTTAGATTCACAAATCAGCCCGGCAGATGGCGCTGCAGTGGGTGCTTTCATACTTTGATATCCTAATCGATTGAAATATCATGCAGAACAACGTCTGTGGGGTCTGCTAGTATACTATATATTAATATAGCCTTATTAAACGACTGATTTAAAACCTTATTTGATTAGTTAAAAAACACGTTCAGTTTGCGGTACTTGAGGAAAGGCTAAATTAGCCTCCAAAAGCTTGGTTGCTCCGCAAGGCGAAGCGGTACTTCATCCGGGCCAGCTGCAACTATATAAACGCATTCGGCCCCACGTGGAGTGTACTGCTCTCACCTCTGGGCTATGGGCTCCCCAGTACTAGCTCCTTCCACTTGACCGTATTTCAACAGACGGTTCGAATCGTCGACACCGATCCCTCCCGAGCGGCTTGATCCTTTGGCGTTGCGTAGAGATATGGGGTCACTCTGCATATTCTACCGCATTTACCATGTAGAGTGTATGTCACTGGAGTGTTCGGCTTAAACGGCTGCAGCTTTGAATGATTTTTTCTATCGGATGTCGAGAGCCCTGGATGCGTTTAGATTCCACCCGTATCAGCCTCGACGTACGCCGTTGCAGAACTGGGCGTTTTTCATAGGCGGTTTTGCCGCGACCACCACTCGATGTGAAATAGCATGCCGGATGAACGTCTTTCCGGACCAATTCGACTTAGGGTCCTTCATAGTAATAGAGCGTACCAATTCTTAAAAGGCCGGCAAGCACTCGCGAGGCCTCTGGCATTTAGAGTGTCAGGCGGCGTGTCACTTAAATAGTGAGCCTCACTTCCCAAAAAAAAACTAAATTACCTAAATACTGCTGTTAGATTAAAATAATAGGAAAACACAGCCTATTTATATCATAACTAATAAATAAATAATTTAAACTACTTAATAAAAATAACTAATTATTATATATAATACTATTATTTTACTAATTTTATTTACTAATTAACTAATTTAACTTTTTATACTAATTAAACCGATTTTAAATACGAAGCCAAAAGAAAAATACGTAGGTACCCCTCGAAATCTACTGAACCGAAGTTGATAGTTGGAGATTGTTCTCTAAGTTAGTCCTTGTACTTTCTTATACTTTCTAGAAGACTTTTAGATTTCAAGAAATTGTTGGAGAAAACATTTACTAACTTACGAAATTCAGGACACGTATTATTTTTAACACGTGTGGCTTGTGCCTAAATTATCAAACTCACGTGTTATCAAATTCCAACAATAAGCTCCAAAGATAAGTTCCGCTCTATTTGTAAAACGTTACGATGCGGGGCGGGGCTTGAATTACGCGTTAGTGTTAGTATTATTTTCGACTTTCCAGTACTTTACACCTTATAATGGTAACTTTTAGGTATTTAAAGAGTCACTGGGTGGTCACGAAACGTTTTACTATTGGGTACAGAAAAACGTTACGGCGCATTACATGGGGGGGGTCAATAATCTCCAAAAATTGCGTGACGTAATACTTGAACGCTCCCAAAGTTAATTAGTATCTTTACATAATATATCTAGGTCCAAGATATTGAACCGATACAGACTTCAGACTTGAATTAGACAGTCAAAATTTGTCGACACGACCTGTTATTTTCATACAAATTTAGTTTTCGACTTTCTACATACACCACTATTAAGGCATCTTGGCTAAGTCCCCTGTTTGCTTTATATCGCGTATCGCTCTGTCTGACTGCGACCTTATTTGGGCGTGTCTGATAATATGTTTCGAATTGTACTCTGTCAGCCTGTTTCCGCTTGTAATTTTAATTGATCGAAAGGTCAAAGATCAGCCGAACATTGCGCAGAAATAGTCTTTCATTTTGAAACGTCCGGTAATAAGATATATAAAATGCTAAACGTAATCTAATACTGATAGATAGCCTTCTGAGCCTGACCTACGTCTCATGGTGGTGGTTTCTTCCTTCACCGTATTGCTTACATAGAAGAAAATATTATAAAGCCAGCATTTGATGACGCGATGTGTACACTGTTTTAAAAATGTTTTTTATTTATTTGACTGATCTCCAGTTGACCTTACCTCTCCAGCTTCATCCACTTTCATGACATTCACCATGCACTCGTCGGTTATTGGTACTTTTAACTTGACCTTCTCTAGTAAGCTCCTGGATTAAAAAATGGATGTTATTATCATAGTTGAAATGAAATGAAAATAAAAGTAATTAACACAAGTGAATATACTAAGAAAATAGTAATTAAATCGCCTTAGAGTTCGCCTTCACAAGTTTATGTTAATTTTTTAAATTATAAAACCCTAAACCTCATTGTGTTGTAAAAGAAAAAAATTTGTTTCCCGCGTAAATTCGAGGTGACGTCATGTTATGCCACAGATTATTTTGTTTATTTAGTGAAATCAAATGTAACTAGTTCTATAATTTAATGTGCTCTATTTGCCTAAAATAAAACTTGTTTTGGAAAGCTCAAGATGCGTTTATTTTTGTTGCTCTTTGTGGTTTGACAACATTACTTATGTCGTCATTATTTTAGTGATATTAAATTTGTATACGCCTAGTGCATACTCGAACGTAACCCGGAAGTTCCGAGTCTAAGGATAATAATTACGGTTTGCAAGCCACTGGCCAATTAATAATAATGCCCGTTTATTTCCAATCTTTACAAATGTTAACAAAATACAATTTAAATTTGGTAGATATATTTTTTTATACTAACCTATCCTAACATTACCATTGATCGGACACCACGGGTAAAGGCCTCCTCTAGCTTTTTCTAAATTTCTCTATCCATGCCTTCCTTCCTCCATTTGCTTCCAGCTAATGCTTTCATATCTTCTATCCACCTTATTCTAGGGTGCCTTCTTCTCTATCTCTCCCTTGATCCTTTCCTGACTGACCACTTATTTCCATATAAAGACACGAATCGTTCTAAAATTGACAATTCAACATTTAACAGGAATCAAAGAAACACAATGGGCACCAAAATATATTGCCGCGGATCACTTCGAACTTATGTTTACATTATATATATACATATTAAAATATATTTAAATTTTAGGGGAACTTAACTGTGGATTGTATTACTCTTGGGAAACATATTTGTTCTAAGAAACAGTTCAAAGTACTAAACGTATATATTTCAAACTGAACGATTATGTGTCTAACCACATAAAGAGATGTAGTTTCACACACACATATTATATACCGATTATTGTGCCAAAGTCAGGAAATTTTTATATATTTATACTAGTCTAAATTTAATGAATTTATCATATCTGCTACTATTGTAAAGTTTATTTAATCGCAAAACGCTTTAGCTCTTCAGTACATTAGATAAATCACTATTTAAAATAAATACATAACAACAGTGTTTAAATCTCGAATCGAAAAAAAAATTTTTTATTTGATATACATGTTTGTATATATGTCTTTGTTGACGTTACCTTCATTTATTTTTCCTGAAAAAAAAAAATTGATTTTGCTTTTACGACTTTATTTCCAAGCAAGCGATATGAACAATCACTTATGTTTGGTGGTTTACAAACGGCATAGCAATCTAAATATAGTATTAATATAGATTATTGAAAGATAATCTCGACGTATTCATTTCGAACTCTCACTTAGCCCAATGGAAAGGGAAGTTCTAACAACTTAATGAACTAGCAGTTGTTCACGTGCCCTACCACAGATAGCCCGCAATAGTTGAGTGAAAAACGTGTGTAGATTTAATTTTATTCGTAAAATTAAAGACTGTGCGTTTCGTTTTTAAATTTTGTAAGTATTTTCTTAGACTTTTATAAATATTTTGGAAAATATTATAGCTTTGAGATTTAGTAGTTTTTTTTTCGTTCATCTTTTCTCAATCTTTCCTCTTAAAAATATTAAGT